TTCGTGTTTCATATCATTTAAAATATTATTTCTATAAATATTCGACTTTTTTTCTTTTTTTACTTTTATTTCTTTCTACACAGGACGAGAAAACTCTGGACATTATTGGTCAATATAAACCTGAAATATTCTGCTAAATACAAATAGGACCATTAAAGGCGCTCAATTGTTTATTTGAGTTTCAACATTGCAAAAGTGCCCACATTAATGAACAAACAAAAAACACTTAACACATGAAAATGAACAAAAGGAGCACTTAGTAACACTTAAACAAAATAAAAACTCAATACTTCGTACAACACGAACAAATTTTTTCACAACAAAACAGATAATACGTACAACAAACATAGCGAGAAAGAACAAAAGTGTACCAAATTATAAGGAGAAATTAAAGTATTTTAAACGAAGCTGTAAAAAGAAGCTCAAGCTAAGCTATGCATTAGAGAAGCAAGCAATTAAAGGACGAAATCAATTGCATGCGAAATAAAAGTGTCTCACACAAAAAATAAAAAATAAACGCATCAACAATTCACATCAATCAATCACTGATATATGTAAATTAATTTGATGATCTTATGCAACGTTTAAGTTTATGTATGCACATCACGAGAAGCAAAAACAAAAAGTAAAACAAAAGCAAGGCAACAAATTAAATATTTTAAAGCAATATTTAAGTAGCGTTTAAGTGTAAACTTAATTGAATAATTATTTTTTTATTTGTGTTTTTTGCAAAAATTTATTCAAGACATTCGTTTATTGTTGTTGTGCTTTAAATGTTCGTTCGCCGTTAATATTCGCTCAGATTGAAGCTCTGCTTGCACGATATTAAATTGAATTAATTAATTAATTACTAAATAAGAACTAATTCGTGCTTGATGGTACTACAATTCTCTTGAGGACTAAAGATAATTGCATTTTTTGCAAGAGGAGAATTTATCATAAACACAAACGAACAAAAACCTCCCACACACACAAAACAACAACAACAACAATCCACAGCAGCACGCACCTGTTGGGCAAGTGAGCGCATGCGCAACAATTCCATTATCAAAAACGCACGCATCGTACGAAATACGGAATAAAGCGGAGACCACACTCATACACGCTTCAACAATAAATAAATAAAAAAAGAAAGACGCTTGCGCAATTGCGTTCAAAACGCGTTACAGGTAAGAACTCAAACGAGTAAAGTCAGATCGCATCTAACCCAGTACATATGTATGTATGTATGTGCTACTAAGGCTAAACTATTCTATGTGCTTCTCGTTTTAAGTCATAAGTTCACTAACACCTCACTGCTTGCTAACCTTAATCCAGTTTGTATATAGTTGACATTCATTGCATATTCTCCATAGCTATTGATACATATGTATGTACATCTACATTCGATATGCCTTTGCTCTGTCTACTATGTATTGCTGCTGCTGCTTTACTTCTATTAGCGCCAATGCGTCTTCGTAGCTCATAATTGCTTTTTGTTGCTGCCTTTTACTTTATGTAATTAAGTGCTTATTGGAATATATAATAAAATCACTGTTACTACAAATAATTAATTGAATAAATAACCTCACTTTCATATTGATTTACGAGGCATTTTGAAAAGACAGTGACTTTTTGAATAAAATATATATTTTTCGGCAAAAAAGCGCAGTCTCCTGGTAGACCGCCACATTTAGTCCTGCGTTTTTTTCAATGTTTTAATTCCTTCCAAATAATAGGTGTTTCAAGGTCCTCAAAATAAGCGCCTTTCACTGATGGCTTCCCCAATCGATCCAAATCTCTTACCGCCCTGCCATTTTTTTTTGGAAACAAGAAAGAGTCGCTGGGGGTTAAATCCGGGGAATATGGTGGAAAGGGCAGCAGTTTGTAGCCCAATTGATAGATTTTTTTCTATGGTGGAACAACACCCTAATGTGGTCGTTTTTGCTTCAAATCAATATCGAGTCTAAATGTCTAATAATATTCACCAGTCATCATTTGGCCCTTTTCAATGTCGTCTATGTGAATAACACCGCGTGTATCCCAAAAAATTGTGCCCATGCCCTTATTGGCCGACAGACCCACTTTGTCCTTCTTCTGTGTACTACTTTATTGTGGTTTGGTCTCAGTTGTGTTGTGGTGGATCCATGTTTCTTGAACTGTTACGAAACGTTGCAAAAACTCATTCGGATTGCGGCTTAACATCGCCAAACGCTGCTTTGAAAGGGTCACCCGTTTGTTTTTATTGTCCAGTGTCAGCTAGCGTGGCACCCATCGCGCGGTTAGCTTTTTCCGATCCAAATATTCATGTAAAAAGTGATGTACCCATTCAGTTGAGATGCTTACAGCCTCAGCCACCTCACACACTTTCATTCTCCGATCGTCAAATATGAGTCCTTTGATTTTTGGACGATTTCTGGCGTGACGACCTCTTTTGTGCGTCCTGAACGTTCTGAGTCACTTGCGTTGGTACGACCACAACGGAACTCAATAAACCACTTTTTAACCATTGAAATTGATGGTGCAGAATCCCCATTGTATGTAAAATAGTGCTTAATCGCGAGGTTGTCTGCTTCTAATGGCTGTGAAACACAAACTAAATAGCGCTGCTTGTTCAAAATTTTACAGTAGTCTATTAATCGGTGGCAGTTGATGGGAGCAGTATTGCATTTAAAGTTACTGTGCGTGTAATTCAAAAAGTAACTGACTTTTTATATTGCCTTCGTATTAAAAGAATATAATAGTGGCACAAAATATTGCATTGTATAGAAGGTGTTCAGCTGATAGTCGAGAGTCTGTCTTATGATTCGTAGCAGTAGGAAAAACTCTAATTTTCTACACATGTTTAGGATATATTTAAAGGATATTATGGTTAGAGACAACATATAAACCGTGCTTACCGATCTAATAAAAATGCGGTGTTTGATAAAGCAAAACCTTTCGACTAGTTAAAGCCCAAGCTATTGTAGTAAAAAGTCTTCTGTCTTCTCGCAAACTAGTATACGAGTTCAAATAGAGCTCTATCTGTTTGGATACAGTCATTACTATCCTAGCATTACTAAGTCGTTTGCTGCAGCTTGCTATAGACGTGCTGGAAACGGAAGGTGGATACCTATATAGGCACGTCAAAAGGCATTTCTTTGAACTGAAGGGCGAGTTCAGGACTTATGTACGCACGTAAACTACTCGACATGACTCTGTGTAGACTGACAATCCACGATATTTACCGGCAGACCAATACCATCTTCACTAACTCCCGTCCCGTGAATGTCGTCATCGGAGTTCAGTCTCCATCAATTGCAGAGGAAGAGCTTCGGCTAACCGAGGTACTCTGGCACAATTACGGTATGAACACTGTAGTAGGTTAGCCTCTTACCTATCCAGACTAGATCCGGACATACCCAACTCAACTAACACGCTCCTCATGTTTTGTCCGACCCCACCTAAGCAGAACGTTTCCTGCTGATATGTATTAGTGATAAAGAAAAGCGAAGTTAGTATTATTTATAAGATCTCGTCATCGCGTACATTGATAATTCTACTTAACCCAGCTCTTCTAACATGGCAGATGTTTCCTAAGTACTATAAAATTTGGGTTATGATAAGATATCTTCTACATAAACCCATTGGACCCAAGCAAACGCTAACAAAGTTAATTTAAGTATTTAAAAGTCCGCAAACACAAAACCCAACTTAATTCCTTTACTAACAAACCAGAAAGCACATTTAAAATTCATAAAAACTATATATCGATTTGCTAATTATTTTCCTCTCTTACAGATGGCCCATGTTGTCGGCGTACCTAAGCGGGATCCTTGTCAAAATTGCCAGTTGCCCGTTTTTCTCGCCGAGCGCCTGCTAGTTGGCAAGAAAGTTTATCATCGCACTTGTCTAAAATGTGCGCGTTGTGGTTCACAACTCACGCCTGGTAGTTTCTATGAGACCGAAGTAGACGGCGAATACTGCTGTGAAACATGTCCCGACGAAGAGGTGCAGCTTAATGAAGTCTCTAGCAGCGAACTGGCAGCAGGTGGTGTACAGTTACGCCATGGAGACGAAGAGGAAATGCCTACCACCAGCAAATCTAGCGCAGCACTTCCAAAAGCCGCGCGTAGCTCCATCGCTGAACGGCTAGCCTTCTTTGAGCAATCGAAGAAGAGTGCTGGTGGTAACAGCAGAAGTGAAGCAGTAACTGGCAGCAATTTGCTGCTGCAGAAAAGTGTTTCCGATGAGGAGAAGAGCAAGAGTCTGCAGCGCATGGAAGCGCCTACAACCACGACAACGTCACCGGCGTACAAGATGAATAGCGCGCTTAGCAGTTTTCTCAATGACACTATCGATGTTGAGGGCGAAGATGCGGAGAGCTTATCCAACACAGTTGAAAGTAAATCGGGCGCAGAAACACAAATGGAGACATCAGACACAGAAAACGATACAGACACGGAGGCGAGTTTGGAAGACGTGGCCGCCCCTGCATTGCCTACAACCCAGCCACCTTCGGCGGTGGAAGAAACAGGCTCGGAAAATAAACGCGAGAAAGTGAAAGCTGGAAGATTTACAACCACTGCGCAATTACAGTTGGCCACTGCGCCAAACGAAGCCGAAGCAGTAAAAGTAGCAGCTGTTAGTGGCCAACTACAAGTGGATGAATTTGCTAAAAAGACGAACGACAACAGCACTGAGACCACGTTGGAAAATATGAAAACTGAGTTGCAAATGAATTTGGCAGCAACTGGAAAACAAGCAAATATAATTAGTAATACAGCGAGCCTAACAGAACCTGAAGCCCACGTCGATCAACAAGCAGATAACGCAAACAACAATGGCCGCCATCAGAAGGACGATTTGGAGAACGCCTCAACAAAATTGGCAGCAGAACAAAAAGCGCAAACAAGCCCAGCAGCAGCAGTTAACTTAGATTTAAGTGAACCTAATTCTAATGAAGATGTTACCAAAGACCAAATTGCAGATACAATTGTAATTGATGCAGCAACTGCACAGGCGCAGCAGCAGGTACAATCAACGGTATCAAACACTGAGAAACTTGCAGAACTGCGAGCAAATCTCAGTGAATTGGATACTGAGAGTCGGACTGAAAATATGGATACGTCTGTGGAGAAGCCTGTTGAAATGCGCATAAAGTCACTGGAGTCACCAGAGGATGTTGCAACCACCGAACGACTCAGTGTGGTGCGTGCGCGACTGCAACAATTCGAAGTAATTGCAAACAAACGTAATAATAATGCTAATGAAGAGAAACGCAGCGATAATGATACACGTAATGATAATAATACTGACCATAAGATAAGTGACGCTGAAATGGATAGTACTAACACTCCTAGCGATAAGAAGTTACTGAATACTGGTCATGAAGTGGCCACGAAACTGGATGAACAGGTCTCTATGACATCATCCACGCCAAATGTAATTAAATCTAAAACAATTGAAAATGTGAAAAGAGTTAATCTAGAAGATGAAGCAAAATTGCGAGCTATGGAAATGGAGAAGGCGGAACAAATTGAAGCGAAAATACAGGAAATCAAGGAAATCGAAAAACCAAATGTAAATGAAGTGCCTTTAGAAATGGAAACTGAAGAAGACAATAATGTAGAGTTAAATGTAATTGATAACGAGTTTAAGCCCGAGGAGGAACGGAAAGCATTAAAAGAAACCCCGAAAATAGAACTAAGTGAAGTGGAAGTAACAACAGTAAATACAGAAACTGCAAAGGAGTTGGCAACTCAGTCACTATTGACTAGCGGCGACATCGTCAACGCACCAGCAATAAAGTCACCAACTACGCCCAGCAAAATCAACCCGGATGAATATCCCGAAGATTTGAATCCCTTTAAATCGGAAGATGAAGATGAGGAACTAGATGCCAATAAAGAAAATGTCCAAGAACAATCAGTCGAATTAAGAACTCCACAACTGCGTGGCAGCTATACAACACCCGCAAAGTCTGCAGAGAAAGCACAAACTCTCAATCCATTCGATAGTTCCGATGATGAGGTCGAATTGGAGAAGACATCACGCAACTCAACGGCAGCATCTACGCCATCAAGCGGCAAAGTGCCACCACCACGTCCACCACCACCGCGCATATCGCGTAATCCTTTCGGTGAGGAGCCCGAGGAAGATGCAGCGAGTTTTTCACGTCGTTCCAGTTTGTCATCATCATTGACAAAGAAGGCACCTGTGCCAACACCTAGAACAAATATGTAAGTACATTTGATTTTCTTAAAGAAATGATTTTAAAAAGAAAATTTTCCATTTCCAATAGTCTAGTTTATTCTATGAAGCTGTCGACATTTTAAATGCATGAAAAGCTGTTGTATTTGTATTTGTTGTTGCCACGTGTATTCGCCGCTCTAAGAAGATGTGTATTTCGTTCAAGTGTTACTGCTGCAGCATCTTTATTACACATATCCGCCACGACGTTTTCATTCATTCATATTTATTACATTTTGCCACCGCCCACTATGCCGCTACTTGTTGCCTCTTGCGACATGCGACAGCGTCAGGTCGATAATTAAATGCTAAATTGTGCGGCGGACGTGCATATGCAAATTACTTCCATTTTTGCTGTCAACCTACTACTTGCTAGTGAAATTATTCCATCATTTCCACTGAATGTTTAGTTTACTGCTGCTTAGAAGATGGGATTTTTCCAAATGATGATTCTGATTTTTAAGTAGTGATGGTAGCAGATGTAGCTAAACAATTATAAAAGCCGGTGGGTTGCAGATTAACCCAGATTGATGTGTAGGTTGAACAGCAATTTGACTTTCGTTTTTTGGTTTCTAAGATGGGAGGTCAGAACGACCGCGAATGGAAAGGAGGGAGTGTGAAATTACATACGATGTTATTTGTTCGCGTTTTCATCGGCATGAATAACCAGCTGCAGCCTAACCTCCTTCGTCCAGAGAGATGGCCCCTTTACTAATGTCATTGCTGGGCGTCAAAATCGAACAATCCTCAGTGTATGAGTTCAGCGAAATTCCCTCTGGTGGCTGGGGAAGCTTCGAAATCTGGAAATTAAACAAAAAGAGGGCAGAGTTCACCACCCTTTGGGAGACCCTACTTAATTTTCTTTGAAGTTTAATCTCGATATAATTATCGTTATATCGTTATATATATAATATAATGACTTTTAGCAACGTAGAGTGACATACGGTGTCGAAAGCCTTCAACACTTCCAGCGCTACTAGGGCGGTTCTACCACGTGCGCTTGAGGTTAAATTTATGGCGAACTCTTTCAATGATCTGTGGAGCTTTTTTTGCTTAGTGTGGAGTTTAATGTATTTAATATGCTCCATAGATAATGTCCTCTGATTTACGTCTTAAATGAACTGATTTTGAGTCGACTAGGCAAAAAACAATAATCCACTCTTCTCTAAACCCTCCATTCTACGATTTTCTAACCTCCGCTCGTTGTGTTATTTTTTTTCTTTGGAAAATTCTACTATTTGTTATTTTCTTTTTGTGTTTTAATTATTTAAATAATAATCTCATTTTCGTTATTGGTTTAAATAATCTTGACCTAGCCAGTAAACCCGTCTGTTAAGTTGATATTTCCAGTTTTTATTTCAATAAAATAAATATAACTTTGCTCAGATACTCCATCTGCATTTCCAAATTATGATCGCTGCACTTGTAAACATTGAGTTAAAATATAACTCTACTCAAATAATCATTAATTTCTCACTCCAACTGCACTCAACGCACAGCTAACTCCAACTCAACTCAAAGTAAATAATTCTTTTTAATTAACATAAAAGTAAAACATTTAGCTGCAGCTGGTGTGCACGGCTGTGGGTACGTCAGTCATTCTAGTCAGCACATGCGAGTCGGTCCAAGTGGTTTTAGCCAACGCAATAAAAGACAAAACAATAAAGTTTCCCAAGTGAATATAACTTCAAAGTGATTTATCTTCAAGCGCACGTGTATCTTAAGACTACATATTTCTTTATTAGTGGAACATACACATAGAGTGTTTCCAGTGCCAGCAATTAGTGCTTAGTACTCGTATGCAGTGAGCATCTGTCCCGAGCGAAGTAACAAAACTGGCAGAGAGGCAAAAAAAAAAAACTGACTGTTAGCATCAAAAGTATGCCGAAAATATTGCTTAAGACTTCTTGTTTATAAGTGTCAGAAAAGTGAATGATTGTTTATGGAAGCATGCGCATGTTTTATGGAGCGCGCGCTAATTACATACTTTTCTGTTTTTACGCCATAGCAACCAAGTGTGAATGAGTTGTTGGTCCAAGGCAGTTTGTCATTCAGCTTTTTGTTTTGTGATAAATGTCATCGATATGAGGCTGCGGAAATTTGGGTTGTAGCTGCAGTTTCTTAACGTCGGTTATGATCTACATAAGAAAATTTGTTTTCGTTGATTCTTTGCCTTTTTTTGGTTTTGTAGTATTTTTTTTCGTGATATACGATTCATTTCATAATTTAAACCCACTTTTGTTATTTGCTTAGTTATACGTTGGACATTAAAATTACTTACTGCAAGGCACTCAAATCAAACATTTCCGAGTAAATATTTTCCTAATTAACATCTAAAGAAATTTTTAATCAATGCTCCCCTCTTCGCTCTTTGCTTGGGACCACCCAAAGTGTTCAGTAATTCAATACAGAGCAGTTCAACGCACTATCCATAACACTTTAACTCTTTTGTAATGCAATCGTCGCTTGTGAACATAAGTATTCATTAGAGTACTATACAGCATACGAGGTGTGGCTATTAAATAACGAGACTGACGCTGTTGAGTATTTTATTTTATAATTTGTTGATTTCAAACACATTTACTTATTATGACATTCAACACACACGCCTTTTCTTTACATACAGCGTCCCATGCGAATCTCTCATCGTTCAAAACAGTGCTGGAAGTCCTCTTCTGTCAGCTTATTAACGGACTCAAATCGTATTCCTTTTAATGCAGATATTAACTATTACCTTGTTGGAGAAGCCATTACTTGTCCTTCCACAATTCGATTCGTTTTTCCCTTATAGTTTCACGGGGCAAGAACGCATATATACATATGTAGGTATTAATGTTAATTAATAGTTTAACCTTCAGTTTAACCTTTTGGCACAAAGGGGGAAAATGTCACTTTTGATAAAAATCCAAAAAAAAAAAATAAGTAATCTTTTTGCAATACATTTTTGTGAAACCCTTTGCGTGTATTTCTTTTTCTTAAGTAAAATTTTCTACTGGTTCTTATTTTGGCTTCTAATTTTATTGCGAAATGGAAAGGATAAAAAATTACATTTTTTTGGCAATTCAATTTTTTTATTTGACACATTTTGGCACTTTTTTATTCTCAATATGGCACCTCATAGCTAAGGATAGTTGGCGGCACTGCTTACAGATTTGTTTGCAGAAGTGCGAGACACTGCTTTCGTAAACACAGCCTTCACGCTAAACAGCTGCCGGTGCACTGCGTTTGCCGCATCGTAGTACTTCTTATGTAGCAGCGCCAGTCTTGTTATTTAATAGCCACACCTCGTATTTCTTTAAATCCACTTGCTTTCTGATTTCTTATTACCTGCGTTGAAGATTCTTACTACTTCCTACACATTTTTGTATGGTTTTGTAAATGTGTAAGTACATACAAACATACATAGATACATACAAATAACTAAATATTCATATTAGAAATTATACACTTGTATCCATACAGGTTTGCCTTTTGTGAAATAAGCCTATGCAACTGGAGGTTTACAATGCCAAGCGTTGTTATTAATTGTTTTTTTTTTTAATCTTTTTTCAAAGGTGCATCATCACTATAAGTGCAAGCAATGCAATGTATTATTGTTTGTCGTTAGCATTAAACGGCCTTACATTTCGGATTGTCACTGTGCACTTATGGTTGCCGACAATAGATATGGAACATCATCTTTCTATGTTCGGAGTTTTGTTTGCTTTAAGAGCACTTTTTATTGTTGTTAGTGACACAATTACCTTAAATACTTACTTACAGTAGATACATATTTTTGTGTGACTATGGAAATTTACAGCATTGGGTAAGATGTTTTTGAGTGAGTTAAAAATAAATTTTTGAGTATTTGGTTTACCAATAGTTGTACTTTTTTGTATTTTATAGTCGACTTTGCAAATGGAAAGAATGCCGTCTAAATATTTTTTCGTAGCAAATGTTTTTTTCTCGCACTCATTTGCTTTATTAGGGTGGTGCATTTATTTTCGATAAGTATTTTAAAAATCTTGGTCTATAATGGACGAAAAAATTTGTCACCTAAAATTTATTGCATCACAGCACAAACTTATTTGGTATTTTTTTTTAATAAATAATAAATTTGACATTTCAGAAGCTAAATTGATTTTCATAAAAATATTTTTAATTTAAATTTTGACAGTTCAACCGAAGAGAATATTTGCCACTCCAATATGTACCGGTACACTAATGCGGTAAGCCCGGCTATTGGATGCAATGAGTATTATCAGCTAAATAGTTTCGGGGAATGATGCTAATTTGATTTATTACTTTGTATGACCTGCTGTGTTTTAATGTAATATTATTCATAATGATGGTTCTTGCGACCTTTCTACTTGTAGTTTAATATTAATATATCGGAACAAAACAGTATTTTTTTTTTTTATTAATTTTTCAAAATTGACCTCGAGCCGGCAAAATATTAAACTACTAGTAATATTATTCAGAGTAAGAAAGGGCCCAAGTTTTAAATGTAAACAAAACCATGAAACCCCAAAAAAACTTTAAATTTTTACTAATTTGTCAAAGTGTGTATGAAAATTTGTTAAAAGTATATCTCACGACGGTTGACCTATCCTAGTGCATCCATCTATATATACATAAGTATGTATGTACATTTAGCTTGTTCAAATATTTTTGGCTTTGTAACAAGCAACACAAAGTATATATCA